GAGATGGTCTGCACTTGGCTGTGCTGGGGGATGGTCTGTATGTCAAGTTGCTCTGATTGGTCAATAAATAAAACACTGATTGGCCCGTGGCTAGGCAGGAAGTATAGGCGGGACTAACAGAGAGGAGAAATAAAAGAACAGGAAGGCAGAAGGAGTCACTGCCAGCCACCACCCTGATAAGCAGCATGAAAAGATGCTGGTAAGCCATGAGCCACATGGCAAGGTATAGATTTATAGAAATGGATTAATTTAAGCTATAAGAACAGTTAGTAAGAATCCTGCCACGGCCATACAGTTTGTAAGCAATGTAAGTCTCTGTGTTTACTTGGTTGGGTCTGAGTGGCTGTGGGACTGGCAGGTGACAAAGATTTGTCCTGACTGTGGACAAGGCAGGAAAACTCTAGCTACAACTGTATCAATTTGCAGTATCACTGACAACATAATAGAGGTCCCCTCTCTATATTTTCATTATCATTTTTTGTTTGTTTGTTTGTTTGTTTGAGACAGGGTCTCACTATGTAGCCTTGGCTGACCTGGAACTCACTATGTGTTAGAGTCCTGGAGAAGTCCCACAAAAGACCACCATCCTCATATGCAATCAGCAAGAGCATTTATCATCTCTAGTGTAAAAGTTCCAGTATGCTGGGGCCTCACATCTGACACAAAGGCAAAATGGCAAGCAGGAGAGAAGCTTGCAGGCTCCCTTATACACAGCTAAAGGATTTCTAAAGGCAGTGAGGTCATTCTATCTATGACTGGCTTACATGAGTGGTAATCATATTAGTATGCTCCTTATTGGTTAGGGCTAGCAGGGCATGGCTAAGGCTATAGTTTTCCTATTTGGGGGCAAGTCTGGACAAGTCCCAGAGTCTGTCTTCTTTTTTTGGTTGTTGCCTTGAGATACTCTGGGGGCTGGCTCAGGCCTGGCATGTGCAGTTCCTTTTATCCTTGCTGTTGGGGGCGTTGGTGAATGATTGCCCTCTGTGCGTGGCTTCTTCAGAAACGGTCTGGTTCCAGGAGGCAGGAACTGAGGCCTAGTTCCTAACTGAGTTATTAGGATCCTGTCATGGTATTTGCCTGACCTTCTCACTGTGTAGACCATCTTATTTCTTCTTTTGCCCAGTCCTTGAAAAACAGGTGATGTTTTAAGGATAAATAAAACAATTTTCCCAGTTCCCCATCTTTATTTAAAGTGCTCTCCCGCCCACACGCACACTTTGGGGGCTCACACTCTTGTTTTGCCTCTGATCTCCAGCCTCTCAGCCTTGAGGTGAAGGAGGTCCCTAATGACTTCCCCCATTCCTTTGAGTTTCTTTTTTGTGAGCCATACACACACTAGGAGCTCAGAAAATGGAGGCGAAAGTCCTGGCTGATTAGCAAAAATTTCTATTTCTGGCTCTCATTACACTTCAACTCAATAAATGACAAGGACCTGCAAACCTTAGAGCTGAACAATGCTGCTTGGCTCTCCAGGCAATCGTGGTTTGCTTGAAGACACCAGGAAGTAAAGCTTGTCTGAGACGGAAGCCATAGGGACAGATACGCTGCGCCTCCCCTTGTGCCCTCTAGATGGCGCTGCACACGAGTAAGCCGGAGTTAGGCTGGACATCTTCAAATCCCTCGCTCCAAAAGAAACACAATTGTCAAAGTTGAGCCTCTAGATGAAACCCCTTGTCCATCCCTGAGCCGACGTATAAAGAGCTATAAAATCTATAGAGTCATCTCAATGCTGGGTGCAGCATACACGGCCACCACGCTCCTGCCCCTGGTCCCTTATTCCTTGCTCTGGGAGCCACATAGACTTTGGTTCCTCAGGGTGAACTTTGGTGGACTCACACCTTGATTTGTTGTAGGAGCCGTAGGAAGAACCGGAAACGCTTTGGTTTTGAATCGCTTCCTGAATGATAACGGGGGCCAGAGAGACAGCTCCCTCTTTGTAGGCAAAGGCCTCTTCTAACCTGACAACCTGAGTTTGATCTCCAGGGTGGCATCTGGGTGGCACTTGATGGAAGGAAAGACCTGACCCCCATGCACAAAATAAATAAATGTAAGGGTGAAAGGACCTGTGATGGTCAATAATGAAGTACAGATCTATAGAAAATGATTTTTAAAAAAATATTAGACTTATTTATTTGTATGTGTGTGAGTGTTTTATCTGCACGTATGTCTCTTCTCTACTTGGGTGTAATGCTGCTTGAGGCCAGAGAAAATCCCTAGCAAGTGGAATTACAGACAGTTGTGAGATGCCATATGGGTGCTGGGAATTGAACCTGGGTCCAAGAGCAGCCAGTGCTCTTAACCACTGAGTCATCTCTCTGTCCCTGATTTTTGATTTTTAAGGTAGGACTCACTGTGTAGCTGATGCTGGTCTCAGACTCTGCCTGTCTCCACATCTCAAGTGCCCAGGTTAACTTATCGATACCATCCTGTCGTCTGATGGGATTTCAAGTACCCATCTAGGAGGAAGGAGTACAGGCGAAATCCCTCTGCACCCTTGCTGAGCACAGGAGGTGTTAAGAACCAAAGATTCGCTATTGTTGCTTCATCTCTACATGGCTAATTGAGAATGCATGGTGTGGTGTGACAGCCAGTGAATTTGTATCATATGCAGGAAGCTTCCAGAGATGATAAAGCCAAGAACATTATTTAAAGCATGGTGCAAATTGTTTCTCCAACACAGGTGATGTCATTTTTGGTAAGTGATACAGACTTTATTTTCCCCGTACAGCTTTACATTTCATTAATTTCTGATATACTGCACTGATGTGTTTCCTGAGGGTTTTAGTCTTAATGTGTATTTGATGCAAGAACAGCTGCCTTCGGTCTCTGTGATGTTAAGTTTTTTCTTTTTTTCCAAGTTGACACAAGCTACAGCCATCTAAAAAAAGGGAACCTCAACAAGAGAATGCTGCCATCAGACTGGCCCATGGCAAGTCTGTGGGGCATAGTCTTAATTGATGACTGATGTGTAAGGCCCAGCCCACAGTGGGTGGTGCCAACCCTGGGCAGGCTGAGCAAGCCGAGGGGACACATGGCCAGTAAGCAGCTTTCCTTCATGGCCTCTGTACCAATCAGTTGCTGCTCTGAAGTCTACAGTAACCCTCAGGAGGTTACTGTAGAGGGAAACCAGGGAAGAAGACACCATGGCTGTGAATACCCTGCCATACAGACTCACAGCTGGGGCAAACTAGAGAAGGTACCCCTCTCCCGCTAGCTGAGGCGGGATCTCACTGTGTAGCCCTGGCTGGCCTGGACCCCACTATACAGACCAGGCTGTCCTCAAACTCACAGAGGTCCACTGGTCTCTGCCTCCCAAGTGCTAAGGGTATTCATCATCATGCCCAGCTTATAACATCCTTTTTATTCAGGCTCTTTTAAAATGTAACTTAACTTTCAATTTTTTACTATTCTTATTATTCTTTTTAGAAACTCTTTGACAATTTCATGTACATATTATAGATATATATTCAATATATATACACATATATACATATCTACACATATGATGAATTTTAGTCATTTTTCACCTCCATTTTCCACCTTGCATCACCTTCTCTGAGCCACCGAACCCCTTCTCCCCAACAAAGTTCCTCTCCTGTCTCACCTCGTCTTTCATGTATGACCCATGAAGTTTACATGAGTCGCTTACATGAGTGGGAGGCGGGTTATTTACCCGCCAAGGAAAAAAGTGACATTCCCTCCCCTAGCAACCACTAACTGAATCTTGGCTGTTTGATCTGCTCCATGGGCTTTCCCAGTGCGGGCTAGTCAGATGCTGGGACCCCAGGGAGCTGCTGAAGTGTGCAGATAAACCCCTTAGGAGCTGGACCCAAAGGTGCAGCTCCCGGGGGCGCCCGCTTGGTTTACCACCACCCCCCACGTGCCTCAAGTGTCATCTTGAGTTCTCCAGCGCCGAGTCCCTCAGCTCCCCAAGCAAGGTCGGTTCATTATTAGACCGTTAGCTTCAGTGTGTGTGTGAAGATCCGTTCACTGCCCAGGGAATGAGAGGGAGCTGAGGATGATTCCCTCCTGATGATGATAAGCCTTGCTGAGGGAGGCATCTCTGTTTCAACTTTTTCCTGTAGTTTCAAGGTAGACAGCTCTCTCCTCTCTCTCCTCTGTTATGTGTAAGAGGGATTCCACTGGTTTCCATTGTATTCTTGGTGAGAGCCGATCCAAGTGCAGGTGCTTGTATGGTACATCCATGGAAGCAATAACAAGGACCTTTGGCCTTGGAGCTGTGCTGTGGAATATTAGTTTAAGATGTGTTCCATTCGTTTGTGCTGTAGAAGACCCATTTAAGGAGGCAAAGATGTATTGCGTCATTTGCTTACCTCTGTGAAGCTGTGTTACTTTGTCTGCCTAAAACACCCTGGTTGGTCTAATAAAGAGCTGAACGGCCAATAGCAAGACAGGAGAGGGATAGGTGGGGCTGGTGGACAGAACAGATAGGAGAAGAGATCTAGGTTTGTAAGGAGAAGGGTGAGGAGTGAGAAAAGGAGGATCCCAGGGTCCAGGCACCCAGCCACACAGCGAGCCACAGAATAAGAAGGAAAGAAAGAGATATAGAATAAAGAAGGATAAAAAGCCCAGAGGCAAAATGTAGTTAAAGAGAAATGGGACAATTTAAGTTAGAAAAGCTGGCTAGAAACAAGCCAAATTAAGGCTTACTTATTCATAAGTAAGAATAAGTCTCCATGTATTTATTTGGGAGCTGGGCAGTGGGCCCCTAAAGAGTAAAGCTGTTGTTACATTTCAGGAACACATACATATATATTGTAAATAGCTTTAAGCAGCATATTATAATGAACGCTTCCTAAGATCATAATATCCTAGAGATTATTCTGAAAAATACATTTTGTGAGAAATATCTATATATAATAGCATACAGTTAAAAGGTTACTAAAATGAGGTGGTAAAGATTTGACATAAGTACATTATTTTCCAAACCAAATCCTAAGGAGTAAGCTGCACAGTTGGTATAGTTTGCATACAACATGTTTATATTTTTCTCCAACTAGGACTTTTTCTACACACGATAACACACATTATTTTACTCCTGCATAAAACTGTATATATGTGAAGCATTTCTAAAACACCTAGGGAAAAAAAGCCCTCTTTCCCCATCTGTTCCAGGTGGTTGAACACGATGCGGGCCAGCCACACATCCCACAATCGCCTCTTCGGACATGAAAATGATTGAATTCCCCGAGCAGAAAATGAAAACCACGAAACGGGCAGAATAACAAGCTTCACTTCTGTTCCATCAAATACAGGATTTAAATACACAATTACAGAGCTTCGGCTTTCTGTGCTTTCGCATTTAAATTTTATCCCATCCAATCATGGCCACTATCCTGTGGAAAACAGCCACCTTGACACCAGCTGAAATGAGCTCGGCGGTCCCAGGGCTGAGCGGGTTTAGTCAAGCAGTCCTGGGAAAGCCCCGTCTTGTGAGTGACTTGGAGAGAAAGCCATCAGTGCTCTGCGTTTGTGTTCCGGCTGATAATTAAAACAATGCAGCCCACAAAGAAGAGCGAAAATATGATGCCCTCACTATCTCTAACTCCAGCCCCTTCTGACGGATAATTTCCACAGAGTTACCCCCCACAACGTCAAGGCATTTGCAAGCAGGAGATGCGATCCTCAAGATGTTCAAACGGAACACTAGCCAGTCTTTCGAGTCCTCGATGCTCAAAGTGTAGGCCCAGGGGGCCAACACCGGGGCCAGGTCCCCAGAGCTTGAAGGAGGACAACCCCATTCGCCTCCCTCCCAGGTGACTTCCTTTAAGATGCAAGACCAGTTGAGTAGTCTTGTTCTCAGCTCCCAGGAGGAGGCTGCATCAGAACATGAGATAATCCCATATTTCAAGCGGTTCCTTGCCACAGGGTGGTGGTGGGGTGTTCGTCAGCTACGCAGTCCAATAACACACGTGGGCTAAGTATAGAGAAGGAAGAGGCATCCAAGAGTACAGGCCGTGCTGGCAAAGATGCTCAGAGAACCAGTCCATAAATGGGCACCTGCAGTCCTTGGAGGTTTCTGGGATGTTTCTCAAGCCCCAAGGCAATAAATTCACAAATCCACCTGATTACAGTTGTAGACATGTGGATTAAGAACGATCTCGGAGGAGCTGTTTACCACTTTATGTTCAATGCTGGGCCAAGGGAAAAGTGATTCACCCCACAAACAGTCAGTCCTTTTAATTACATGAACAGGTCTCCCTCCCTCCAGAGGAGGGGCCCAGGGCGGAAAGCTTCGTCTCATAATCCAGGACCAGGAGAGGTCGTAACTGAGACGGGGAAACAGGGTCTGAACTCATTCTCGCTGCAAATTTCCCAGAGAGGGATCTGGGTCCAAGCCTGCAGACTCTCCTAAAGTCCCGCTAGTTATCCTCTGTACAGCGCAATCCCGCATCAGCAGCTGACAGGCAGGGATCTTCTACTCAGTTTCAAAATTAATTTTCTACCTCAAAATTTGTAATCTTGGGTCCCGAAGATCTTTATGGAGAGAGCAGAGGGATCCAGATGTTGAAGCCGAGCTGAGGTCCAGGTGGTCAGGTGATCTCACCCAAGATCACCCAGGTGGTCCCACTGGCTCGGGTGTCCGTGTCTCCTTCACGCTGACCTCCAGTTGACTCAGCAGCGTGACTGTAGAGAGAGACGTAGAAATGACACTGAGTGGGCAGCTTAGTCAACTGCTTAGTTCATCGCTCACTCTGTCATTTTCAGAGGTTCTGACCAGGTTCTGCTTAGATTTTGTTTTCCAAAAACAGTGTTCTTTATGAGTCACCCCAAGGTTTCTGAAAATTGAATCATGTGGAGCCTTCATGGATTCCCTAAGCCCCATGTCTTGATAATGAAGATAAGAAACAGTGAGATACACACTCCTTTGAAGCAAGACACACAAGCTGTGTGTGTGTGTGTGTGTGTGTGTAGATCAGAGGACATCTTGCTGGAATTTGTTCTGTCCTTCCACTGTGTGGATCCCAGGGGTTGAACTCAGGTCCCTCGCTTGGCAGCAAGCACCTTTATCCACTGAACCATCTCGCTGGCCCCTAGCTATGGCTTCTTGGGTAAATGATTTGAGTTTCCCTGAGCCTTGCCTCCAAGTAACAACACCTACTGCGTAGTCTGCTGGGAGGATCTAGAGGCACAGTAAATGTGAGTCACTTTGCAAAACACTGACTCCAGAGGGAATGGAGAGGGCACCCTTAACTTTTCTTGGTTTGCAATGAGTGGTTTCGCTAGGCCCGAGGTCAAAAGTCTTGTGTAAACTTTGTCAGGCAGGACAATGTAGGGAAGAACGTGCGAAGGAACCAGGTGAGTGAGGTAGAGAAGGCAGCAGCCGGGTCACGGGATGTACTAACAAACTGTCCCGATGTGATCGGGAGGCAGACAGGCCACTGGGCAGCATGGGGCATCTCCAGAGAGGTCAGGTGGACCTCTCTTAGGGAAGAGGAGGGAGAGCATGTCCCTAGACTTCTTGCTGTCTCCTCTTCTCCATTGTCAAAGCCACCTCCATCCGACGTCGGACGGAGGGGCAGGAGACAAAGGCTTTTCATCCATCTGCTTTCCCTTGTGGACCTGTCTCTCAAAGTCCATAAGATGGGAACTTAGGAAGCGCCTGGCACCCATACCTCGGCACTGACAGCAATGCTCCAAGGCAAGAGGCAGGAGGGCTGCGGCAGACATTGCAGGTAAGGGCCTGGGGACAAGTTGGATTTGGTGTGAGTCCCATGGGTAGCTACAGCAGCTGCTTACTAGAGCCTTACTGACTCCTGGGTACCCGGAGGTTCTCTCCAGCAAGGATGGACAGCTCCATGTACCAGCAAGGATACTGTTGCTAACAAATCTTCCCTGTTGTTTCCATCGCACTGAGTGGAAAATGATGGTTGCACAAACCCAAGATGCCAGTAAGTGAGTCTGGTGTGAGAACAAGATAGGGATTTCGGACAATTTACGTGCATGGAAGGATGCAAAACTGGCTTGTAACACTGACACAGTGATGCCCTGATGAAAGCCTGGGACAGTGGGTGGATTGAGAGGTTTTGATGTGCAGAATAAGATTGACATTTCAGTGACTTCCACGTGCACACTCACCCACATCTCTGTACCTACTTCCTCAGCAAAAAGCTGCTAGTGAAGCTGTGGAGCTACATAGCATTACGTAGCAGGTACAGGGATGAGGGCCAGGATGCAGTACACCAGAAAAAGGCAAGATGAGGCATGGAAAACACAGGTTTTAGCAATAGGATGAGAAATGAGGGAGAAATCAGGAGGATAAAAACCTTGCACTCGGAAGCCAGGTCTCCCTGTATTCGTAGCACTTGAGATACAGGGACAGGAATTCAGCGTCATCCTCAGCTTATTTCAGCATCATTCAAAGTGAGCAAAGCACCTTGTTTTGGAAGCTTTCCGCTAAGAAAATGTTTCCATGATAATTGTTCCGAATAGCCTGACTCTTCCTCCATGAACTGAATGTTTATACAGAGTCTGTGTTTGTAATAAAATACCTTTGCAGTGAGATTGTAGAAACCAGAGCTGTGAAGTAATCCACACATGCTTCTGCTCTTACTAACGGCTGAGTACTATGCTATTCTCTATAGACACCACATTTTCTTTATCTGCTCAGCAATCGATGGGCACCTGTGCCAGTTTCCATGACTCGAACATCGCGAACACTGAAGTAATAAACATGGGTGTGCATTCTGTGGTCTTTACTGTACTTCAGAGCACACAAAATGTGAGACTTAAAGATGTCTCGCATGTCCCGCTGCTCACTTATCAACAACAGCACATACCATGCTTTTTATATACCTGTCACACAGTTTGTGGTGTCATCCCACCGGAACCTGCAAAGACAGAGGCTGTGGTAGCTGCCTCGCCGGATCGCGTGACTAGAGTTCAAGAGGCTGAAGCGGGGGTGAAGAGGGCGAACACGGGGAATAATTTAGCCAGGACTAAACACAGGGACTCCACTTGGCTTGGACTATGCCCATATCCATCTCCTAAAAATGCACCCAGCACCCTGTTAGCAACCTAGACCCAATTGCACCAAGCCGCGTGGACACCCCACTTCAGACAATGGAGTAAGCTCCTCCTCCCCCAACAGCCACCAAGTTTAAATTCTATTCAACCGGTTATATTCAAGGAGGAGACTAGAGGGGCGATCCAACCTGAACTGGTTTTGGGTGAATGCGCAGTAAGGCAAGCTGTGTCCTCTCAGTGAATTTTGGGGAGAATTTCCTACTTGTCATCTCATTCTTATGTGCAAGTGTGTGTGTGTGTGTGTGTGTGTGTGTGTGTGTGTGTGTGTGTGTGTGTGTGTGTGCATGGGTGGGCAGCTAC